TGAGCAAAAGTGCAATGGATATTAAGGCTGTTAAATAAATTGCTCTAGCTTTTATGCACCTACAAATTCTTATTTTTTCCATCCACTTAGGCCTCAAATGTTGATAGTGACTTTTACTACTGTATACTACAACTCAGGATTAAGTTTATTTAGAGGATCAACTTTATCGGAGGGACAGAGCATGTTAACCACCTGGAGATGCAAGATGTCATCTGTCGAAGAGTATTGGCAACTTTTGGACTGATTCTAATGAATCGTAAGTTGATTGGAAAAGAAATATCACTTATGAAACTGTTACTTTTTCCCTCAATCCTGCATCAAAGTAATGTTCAGTGGAATGGATTATAAAGTATTTTTGTAAACAAACAACCAGGCCGGATAAATATCTTATTATTCTTTTAATTTGGACACTTTTCAATTATCAACTGATTTATCTGTCATTATACCAAACAATGCTCATTTCGTTTACCCACTTAGGCCTCAAATGTTGATATTGACTTTTACTAAAGTATACTACAACTCAGGATTCAGTTTATTAAGAGGATCAACTTTATCGGAAGGACTGAAACTGCTAACCACTTGGAAATGCAAGATGTCATCTGTCCAAGAGTATTGGCAACTTCTGGACTGATTCTAATGAATCATTAGTTGAATGGAGAAGAAAAATCTATAAAATTGTGACTTTTTTCCTCAATTCTGCATCAAAGTATTTTTGAGTGGTATGAATTATAAAGTGTTTTTAGAAACAAGCAAGCAGGCTGGATCAATCTTTGATTTTTTTTTAAATTTAGATACTTTTCACTTAATGACTTTTTCATCTGTCACTATACCCAAAAATGCTCATTTGGTTTATCCACTGAGGCCTCAAATGTTGATGGTGACTTCGACTTCAGTATACTAGTACTCAGGATTAAGTTTATTTAGAGGATCAACTTTATCAGAAGAACTGGAACTGCTAACCACTTGGAAATGCAAGATGTCACCTATCGAAGAGGAATAGCAACTTCTGGAGTCATCCTCATGAGTCAAAAGTTGAATGCAGAAGAAATATCATCTATAAAATTGTCCCTTTTTTCCTCAATTCTGCATCACAGTAATTTTGAGTGGAATGAAATATAAAGTGTTTTTGTAAACAAACAACCAGGCTTGATAAATCTTTCATTTTTTGTTCAATTTAGGCAGTTTTCAATTAATAACTGATTTATCTATCACTATATTTTTTTTGTTTATATACTTAAGCCTTAAATATTGATGGTGACTTCTACTACTTTATATTAAAACTCTTGATTCAGTTTATTCAGAGGATCAATTTCATTGGAGTAACAAGGACTGTTAACCATCTGGAGATGCAAGATGTCACCTGTCGAAGAGGAATGGCAATTCCTGGACTCACTCTAATGAATCATAAGTTGAATGGAGAAGAAAAATCTATAAAATTGTGACTTTTTTCCTTAATTCTGCATTAAAGTATTTTTAAGTGGGATGGATTATAAAGTGTTTTTAGAAATAAGCAAGCAGGCTGGATCAATCTTTGATTTTTTTTTTAATTTAGACAGTTTTAAATTATCAACTGATTCATCTTCGTCATTATACTTATGAATGCTCATTTTTTTATCCATTTAGGCCTTAAACAAGGATCGTGACTTCTACTTAATTTCTGGATTCAGTTAATTCAGAGGATCAATTTTATCGGAGTGACCAGGATGGTTACCCACTTGGAGATGCAAGATATCATCTGTCGAAGATTAATGACAACTTCTAGAGTCATCCTAATGAATAATAAGTTGC